GGTTAACAAGTATTTTTTAAATTATGATTAGTCGTGACTTAATTGGCAGATTTCCAAGTTCGTTCCCTAATTGAGCCTGCATGAGAGGCCTCCAATGTCCTTTCTCATATCTAATATGCCGGTCAAACGATATCCAGCTAAAAATACCTCTTTTGATTAATTTCCACATACAAATTCATAATTGTTTTATCATTATTAAATTTCGTAGTGAAGAGAATTTTATCTTGAATGCTATAAGCACTGTGGCAAATATGAATCTGAGAACTTTGCTTAATTTATTTTTTTTTTAAATTTGGCAGCGTGCGTAATGTCAGATTAGAATAGCGCGCCTATTAGTTAGTCTATTCGTATTATGCCAATCTACTCGTAAGCAGTTCCCAGCATGTCCTCTCTTATACACGGAATTACCACATATTCGTATTCTGCGCTCGCGTTTGGATATGTGCGACTAATATACAGCAGTTATTGGCTGGCCCAACAGCCAATCATTTAACGTATATCCAATCCTACATAAATCCTCTTACTCCAGTGCTCCGAATAGTTAAAGCGTTATACCGCAATATAATAATTATTGAACTAAGCCCCCCAATCGGGTTGGTTGGGGTTTTCGATGGGAGTTCATTCTTCCAATATGTGCAAATGAAATGCAATGATAATTTAAAGAATGAAACTAGAATCTAACTTAGGAGAAACCCACGACTTCAAATTTTACCGCTTGTAAAGTTCGTGAATTTAGGGACAGTACTTGTGCGCTTGTGTCCGCAATTTGATTCATCACTGCTTGAGAGTTAGTCACCTCAGTTCATGGGGAGGTCAGGTACGGCAAGTGGTCTTAGAGTCATTAAATAAAAGTAAGGCTGCATGTTGGTGGTCTGCGACTTAATTATGGATCAACACGCTTCAAATATCATTAAATATTCAAGTGTGAATATAGAGATCATAAGTTCATTGATTGGTCTTGTGAATCCCAAATGAAATCGGACATCATTTTGTCCTTTCCACATTATTTATTTATGTATTTCAAATGGCAGGCGTTTTGATAGATATTATTAGCATTTAGCTGACTTCGGGCTTCACAGAGGGAAGGTTCATCAAAGTAGCAGAAAGTCGAGGGGTGGGGAACAGAAGAGCGATTCATAGATGTAAAAGAGGGAGACGGACACAAAGGTAGAGAAAAAGGCAAGATGAGTACTGTGGAAGGGGTCAAATATGACAAGCAGTCGGACCATGGTAGTTTGATGTCAGAAGTCAACTGCAAGTTTTTGCCGTATGAGTATACGTTGCCCAGGGAGCACCACGTGGAGGTAAGTCTATCGCACACCCCCCCCCTTTCCACATTATTGATTCACATAAAAGTAGATCAAAGACAAGGCTACTTCGAGTACCCAGCTGCCTCTCAGGCTCCTTCAATTTGCATTACACAGAAAAAAAGATGGAAAATATTTTCATTGGGCTCAAAAAGTCAACACCTTAATCATCTAGACATCATACCAAAAAACACGGCACTTAGCCAGTCCACACACAAGCTGAAGTTGCAAGTGTCGATTTAGAAATTTGGATTAACAGTTTTATATATTCGAGATTAGCTAATGTTGATGAATTACATCCCATCAATTTAAATTGAGGACATGTTGGGATGTTAGCATAGATCAAAATGAAATTATTTATTTATATCAAATGACAGGTTTTATGATACTTATCATTAGCCCCTAAGTTGACTTCGTGCTTCACTGGGGGAAGGAACTTCAATGTCGCAAAAATTCGAGAGGGGGTGGAGGAACTGAAAAGTGCTTCGCTGATATTAAACAGGCAGACACAAAAGAAGAGAAAAAGGTAAGATGAGTACTGTGAAAGTGGTGGAATATGACATACAGTGGGTTCATGGTAGTTTGAAGTCAGAAATCAACTACCTTCATGGTAGTTTGAAGTCAGAAATCAACTGCAAGTTTAAGGCGTCTTTTCCGTATGAGTATACGTTGCCCAGGGTGCACCACGTGGAGGTAAGTCTATCGCACATCCCATGTCTCGTCATAATGTGCTGTTGGTGAAGTTATTCCTTTAATTATTGCATTTCAATCGCACAATTTCAGGTATCTGGAAACTTAAAAAATAACAAACTTTAGAATAATAACATCAAGAGGTCTCGCAAATTACAATCCACTCAAAGGATGGATGAAAATGACTCCAGCTATCAGATTTCGCCAACGAAGGATTAAATTTCTACTGTATTTCAATAATCACTGTGTGACTTGGTCTGTTAACAGAAGTGTGGAGTGCACAACGTTGCCATGTGCCCTCAGGGAGACTCAAAAGTGCTGCCGTGTCGCAACGTGTCGCGTGGGGGAGCTTGGGGACCTCCCTGCCTTCCACATTATTTAACAAACCCTTCATTGTATTTTCATGAGCAAGCTCCGTGTCAGCGACACACAGTCCAAATAAACGCATTCCTCGCCATGAGTCTGTTTCCTCTATACCTTTGCAGTAGTTCAGTTAACCCTGGGAAGCATTCCAAACGGAACATTAGCTAAGGCTTGATAGTATGACAATCGGCTGGAGTATATACTGGAGGTGCGGGAGGTACCCACGTTCAAAAGTGTTTAGTGTTGTAAATCTGACAAGATTCTTTAACCTACCTATCTCCTTCTCAACTTTAATTTTTAATTGAAAAGAGGCGAATCAAACCAAACTCGGGGTTTCTTGACACATGCATACGGAACTTTCGATAATGAGTAAATTGACAAAAATGATTCGGTCTGCCGCCGCGGTATTGTTAGATGTTAACTTAGTTTCTCAGAACCGGAAGGAAGAAGGAAAGATTTAACACCTCAACCGGCAGATTCCATTTGAAAGCAAGACCAATTTATATGGCTTTAGGTCAATAGGAAATGATATTTATATCAAATAGCAGGCGTTTTGATGGTTATCATCAGCCCTTTAGTTGACATCAGGCTTCACATAGGAGAAGGAATATCAAAGTGACAAAAAGTCGAGACGGGGGGAGGGAATAGAAGAGTGTTTCAAAGACGTAAAAGAGACAGACACAAAGGCAGAGAAAAGGTAAAATGAGTACTGTGAAAGGGGTGATGGTAGTTTGAGTACACGTTGCTCATGGTGCACCACGTGGAGGTAAGTCTATCGCACACCACAATATGGGAAATGATACATCGCCTGATAGGGCAATAATGTCTGGAGAGCATTGCAGGCATGAAGAATGAACTCGGTGAGGTCCTTTCTGGTGCACTGATGATATTCTAAACGAATTATTTAGTGCACAGAAGCACACAACCACAACGTGAGAAAAAGACACGCGTGAAGGGTAGTGCATTATGACTCACTTTTGTCTTAATCCAATCATCTCATCAGACACCATTTATTCAACTTTGCACTTTTAACTTATTCCCCCTCATTGCACTTCTTGCGGAACTTGCTTGGTGCCTATTCCATTCAGTCAACACTTCAAGTTCTACTAGGTTGGACTTTTGGTACACACCTGTTCATATTGCAAAGTCAATTAGGGTGTAGCTAGTTGCTAGAATAGTATCCTCCAGCTACACATCACCCTCAAAAGAGTCAATATCAGTAACATTGCACTTTCTATTGTATTTTTCAGTTCTCGGAGAAGCTCGGAGCGAAATAGCAAAGCACCACTAAAAGGATGTACAAAGATAGATCATATTTGCCACTGTGAGGAATAGTATTCTAATTTACGCAACTGCTTAAGTAATCACAGTCTCCATTTTTAGTCACCTGTCACCATTAAGTTATGTTAGTGGTATACACAGGGTGTACTTTAACAGATGCTTGGCTGCCTTTTCTCTGAAGTATTAAAGGTATTCACATATACTACGCTCCTATTCGATCATATATGCAATGACAACCTGATTCATCGACAGGAATAACATTCATTATGATTAATCACACCAGCCCTCTAATAATAAACAAAGAGGTTTTGAATACTACTCTTTATTACCAGAACACTGTGCTAATAGGTCAGAATAAACTAAAGAATGGGATGGAGGCTAAGAGGCTGCTGTGTATTGAAGAAGGCAACATAACAGACCATCTGATCAACTCCTCAGAGATCAACTTCTCATGCATTAGGTTCACATAACAAACTTGTTCTCTGCCGATTAGAACGAATTTTGCCAAATTCAGAAGCACATGCTGCATAACAGATGCCCTGGTGTACATGCAAATCTAAAGGACCCAGTTCGCCAAACTGTCAAGGTTTCTAGACGTGTGTGTCCCCCTCTTCCGCTAACACCATCACCCCGCCTCCCACAAAGATTTTTTTAATGTGGACTTAGACTGAACTCAGATACCCACTTATAATTGCTGACCACTGTTACGTCCATGACAGGGATTGAGAGTAACCAATAGCGGGTCATGTGCATGATCCACCCAAGTGAGCATTTGGTCTCTGAACTCCTCAGATAATAACCCGATGGACTATTGTGCTTGTACTCATGCATCGGGTGCTGCCAAGACAGACGCTTTGACCACTGTGCCAAGACTGCAAAAGCCAACGGATTAGTGGACCTGGTTCAGGTTTCTAGGCCACCACCGAACACACTAGGGGTATTATTTTCAATAAAATACCTGCTCTTTGGGTGTAACTTTGCTGCCTATTAGATTTCGTTTAAATCCATTCAAGTTTGGTAGTTGGCAAACACTTTGACTTTACCTGATGAGACTCCCAAATACATTCCAAACAGCCTGTATTCAGGCTCACTGTGATACTACAATCTCACCTAGTAAAAGCTAAGGAATATATATATAGGAAAGAAAAGATTGAACTCTGAAAACTCTGTGTTAATTAGGATGTACAAATAAGGCCAAAAGATGTATATAGTGGAAACGTAGGAAGCTGTTGTATCACACGGATTTATGTCGCACACAATAAATAGATTTTGAGAAGAGGGGTGAGGAAGAAAGGCTGTGGGGAAGGAGGGGGGGGGGGGGTAGGAAAATCGGGTGGGAGAGGTTCTCGTGAGACGAGTTTATGAGTTCTGAAATCGGCTGGCATCGCCATCCACCCCTTCAGCCTGATTACCAGAAAGGAATTTCCGTCGCAAGGCGCTTACGGCACCCCAAATTCGCAGTACTGATCCACCTCTGAAATGATACAAATATCAACATTAATTCAGCTTGAAAACGGCAAACAAAGTCATTGGTGGAGATATGAGCCACAATGCGGTTGAGGATAACCTCTATTGAACCAAGTTGAAATCGGCGTTCACAATAGCACAGCCTACGCCCAAAATGTGAAGTAGGGTCGCTTTTAATGCAGTTTTATGGGCATTTGTTACTCTACCTGCCCACAGTTCAATGGAAAGAACACGGAGACTGGCCAGAAGTTGACGTTCTCTGAATAGGAACTTCATAAAATTAATGTGGTCAAAATGTGATTTCGTTCGAAGGTCCATTACGGGACATAGAAGACCTAATAACAATGAAATCATGTATGGCTGTTGGGAAATATCTATGAGCCTACACTCGAAATGCGTTAGGTCATAGCAGTGGCTTCTTTACGTTTTTAATTACTCATTAACTTAAAGTATCCTCTCTAAATATGACTGTCTTATCTGTTGAAGTCATCTGTCAGTTTCGTAAGGATAAGGAGTTCGATCCCATTGGTACACAGCTACTTTAGAGAATAGCCAACCACGGTTTTTTTTTCATCAGAGCAACTTTATCATGCTACCTCTGATGACCAAGACGAGTGTTGAAGAACACTCTCGTAAATTGAATTGGGGTGGAGGGGCTATTTGTAGAGATTGTAATTGACGGTGTGTTAGCTGTGCTATGATAAACCCGTTTGCTTTAATTTAAATTACTCACTTGAGATGCAGTCTCCAGAGGTCCTCCTTGGTAATCAATTCGAGGAAATCATTTTGATCGAAATGATGAGCAGTAATCTAAAGTACAAAAAAAACACCGAACGATAAAAACACTCAAATATACAAATCAGAAGTAGTATGTGTGTGTGTGTGAGAGAGGAGGTGATATTGAAACTCACTATTTCAATATCACCCACGGGAATTCCAAGATCACTGAGCCACTTTGAGAGGGAAGGAAAACCGGAGGAGATACCGGTGTAGACGTGGGAATCGTCTCCAACACCAAGAACACTGGGTGCGAGTATATCGTTTAGGGCCAATGATTTTTTGCTTGATTGACAAATTAAACCAAATTGAGCAAAATCCATTAAAAGCACAGATTCCTCATAATCTTACGTTAATTTAATCTTTAAGGGGGTAAATATGTATAAGATTTTGGCCGCTATTAACTATATGCAATAAAGAGAGTGGACTTAGTTCAGTTGTGACATTGCATGAAGGGCAGCAAAATGATATATGCTTTTCTGATTAAGTGTTAATAATGCCCAAATATGCGTCTTTCTGCGACTTAGGCAGTTGGTTCAGGTCTCTTTAGAAATCCCCCCCCCACTTACCAATAATAAATTTTGTATGAAAATTTAAAAATAAGACGATGTACTTAATTACACTGACTTGTGCGATGTGCTTATAAATGGGATGTTTGGGGCCGTAATGGTGATCACTGGCGGTATAAACTTTTGATCTCAACAGCCAATCAGAATGGTGTAAACACTAGCCAACCAATCATTTTCCACCTACTTCTATAGGTATCTCTTCTCTGCCTGAAAAGAGAGAACTAGAATTCGCCGTCCAGCGGATATTACCGAGAAGCCCAACTTAGGGGTGCTATTTTTGCAAATACCCTCTATTGAACATCTCCTCTAAACAAGACATTAGAGCACTAAAATTTCCTAATAATTAATTTATGTCATTTTAAAATTGACTATAATACTTGATCCAGTTGTAAATGTGATGCTTTACGTTAGGAAAAGCTCATTTCAGAATTGTTATATGCATATATATACATAATAAATACCTCCCACCCCCCAAACAAGTGCATTCCCGTTTGATTAAAATAAGCGTATTAATGGACTCACGCAAGCCTTTCGAGCGCGGTGATGTATAACTCCTTTTTATCGAGTTCTTGTCGTAGAAGTTGGTTGTAACTTCGAGTTACCTCCTTCAATTCTTCCACAATCCTACAAAAAGGTGAAGAATGACATGAGCGAACTTGGTCAACCAGCTTTTACCATGGAAATTATGGGACAACATTTTTTTCAGGCTTATAGCACAGAGTGACTCTCAATCATATATAATTTCGCTTTCAAAAGTGAGCGAAGCAAGGATTCGGACTTCCATTCTCAATACTTTAAATCGAATAATAAGTAATAAGTAAGAAAGCAGCGATGTGGCGAGAAGTACGTTTTGATCGGATAAATTTTACAATACTAAACCTCAGTCAAAGTTATTTTTTGACCTCATTTCATTTGATTGCACATCTCCTAAATCAGAAGTCATAAACTCCGTGCTTATCATTTGTGAGTTCGGGAAAAGTGTGATATTTCCATTCAGAACGCGTCATCTCTCTCCCCCTCCCTCTCTCTATTACGCATTTCCGAAATTCTTTTCCAATTTAAATGCACCCCAACGCTAACCATGCAAAATTGTACCCTCTAAAGCCACTATTAGTGAATAAAAAAAACTAGAACGGACAAATGTCAACCCCCCCCCCTTCAAAATGTCCTCATCCTGATTAATACAACAGGGTGCCCTCTGCACCATTATTGGTGGTCATTAAAATATTGTGGAAATCAAAACCAACCAAGTTCCAAAACGGTAGGCATTTCCCATGTCTTTTCGTTAAGCACACACACACAGCTTGAAATACTGCAATCAGAATGCAAACAAAAATATCGTTAATATATCTAAGCAAAATGGTAACAATGCATACTGTGAATTAAGCCTCTTCAAATCGTGGACTTCATCCAGATCCATTTGGAGAGAGGACTTGTAATCCTCCTTCGGCGGCAAGGCCTCGCCATTCACCGGTGCAGTCACTCTCTTGATATACTTCAAAGGGTGGGCATTTCGTTTCAGCATTGTTCTCCGCACCATCAATTCACTCTGAGCCATCTGGGATGACTCTATTCTAACAACATCATCTGACTCAGCAGCGGCCAGTTGGGATTCAACGGAGGAATGGGGGTTAATCGGAGCAAGTGAATCTTGAAGGTATAGCCCATCAGGGGAACTGTGTGGAGATTTGAGTTGAACTTGTCGATAGGGTGACGACACCCAAGGCGATGCAGATGCACTTACTGATGAACTCGCAGTGGAGAACGAAAGAATTGGGGGAATGTAACTTTGAACTCTGAGCACCCGTTCACGTTCTGAGGTGAAATTCAAATTCTGCCCAGCACCTATCGTCTTGGTTCGACGAAGAATTGGCTTTCCCTCCACTTAAAGGGAATAAAGTAGAAGGGACTTAAATCAATGAAATTTAATTGAATGTAGGGCATGAAAATTGAATGACATCGTATAGTCAGTAGCTGACAAATCAATGGCACTCACGAGGAATCTGGTCGATCGCTTCCTCGGCAAATTCAGTGATCAATTTAATCCAAGTAAGCATTTGATGAGGCTGACTGTGGCCTCCATCTCTCAAAGGAAAAGGCAAATTGTGATGAATAGAATACCACGCCTTTTCAATAAAGGCAATGACCTGCTTAATAGCCATATCCACCGGACTCGGACTATTGTTCTTCGGATCCTTCTCTCCTTGTTCTCTTTCTTGTAACTGCTGCTGTTGTTGGATAATACGACTCACCACCTTGATAAAGGAAACTTCGCAAGAGGGTTGGACTTCATCAAAAGTGAAGGATGTAGAAACGTGCTCAGACTGGTTTCCAAGTTGCTGGGCGTGTTGAGGTTTAGATTTCACGGTTGTGGTGCAATTTCGAATTGCGAGTTTGAGGAGACGATTAAGGGATTGAAGGGACTCTCCGCCGTTTATTGCATCAATGAGGAAGTCGAACATGCACTGAAAGAGGCGAAAAAACCCCAATTTGAATGTTAATATACTCATCACCATGTCCCTTCCTGAGTCGGAGTAAGATGATTGCTTCCACGTGCCCCTTGTAAACCTTTCTGAGATCTTCTGACGCTTCAACTTTACACAATTCATACAGTTAGATCACGCTTTTGCATTCCACAACTATGTGGCCTCTTACTCGAGTACCACCTTCAGCAACGAATTAATTTCCAATAATTTATGGAAGTAAGGCCAAATTCAGGATCAACCCGGCGCTGGTGGAATAACGCGGTGATGGAAACTATTTGCTTCCCCATTCGTTTGGGTGCATGCCGTTCTTGCTAGTGTTTATTAGCAACCTAATTTTATCATTCGCATTAAATTGGTTTAATTTAAACAAAAGTTATGTGCTCTAGTTTAATGCTATTCGGGCAATTTTCTCCAAAACATCGCGTTATTTATAGGAGTAAGGTATTTCCTGTTTCAAAAAAAACAAACATTTTCATGTTATTAAAAATAATTATGCGTACTGTTAGCTAGGAAATATGCAGGAAGATCTAATCCTAACCCCAAACAAAGATTTCCAGTAGTCTACACTTTCAAGGTTATACCAGGTTCTAGGCATGCCTCCAACTTAGAAAATTCATTGCTTAAGTGCGAAAGTTGGGATGGGTCACTTTAGAAGTATGCACCAATATCGACGTAAAAGGCAATCTAAAGCTGATCAGCAAAACTCGAGATCACAGATTCTATAATCGGATCATGGGGTATACACGACAACTTTACCTCCACGTGGTGCACCCTGGGCAACGTATGCTCATATGGCAAAAGCTCTAAAGAATTGGAGGCTGACTCGTGGTTTCAAACTACCATAACTCGCGACAGTGTGTCAAATTCCACCACTCACAGTACTCACCTTACCCTACTCTCTACCTATTTGTCTGCCTTTCTTGCATCTGTGAATCACTTTTATGTCCCCCTCCCTCTCGACTTTTTTCACTTTGTCTGTTCCTCCCCTCTGCGAAACCCGAAGTCAACTAAAGGGCTACTGATAACAATCATAAAACCTGCCATTTGACATAAATGAATACATAAGTAACCGGACCATGAAAGACCTAAGAAGTTAATAGGTTGAATTTGAAACGTAGAGTTAGAGCTTACGGCCAAAATAGACTTGCAAATATTACCACCCCCTCCCCCCCCCCCCCCCCCCCCTCCTTAGGGATTTGGTGACCTTAAAGACCACCAGAAATCAGGACGCAGGTGAGACAGACCAGATGGAGTGACGGGGGAATGAAGGTGGGTGAAAAGAAGGGCGGGGGGGGGGAGGGGGTTGTGGAAAGTGGAACCAGTTTGCACGTGTAAGATGTGAGAGTAAAAGCTAACTACAGTACGACGCCGATTTCCTCCCTTGTGGTGGTGGCGACACACTCTGATGCCGTTGAAGCTGAGTAGACAAATGAGGCGTTATCGTGTATGATAAATTGAAATTTAAAAATCAAGCCTCTCTCCTCATACTTCAGAGATCATAAATGTCTGAGGATTACATATGCGAATGAGTGAACTAGATCTAACGGGCAGCTTTAACAGGAGGGAGTGGGGGGGGGCTATATTTCAATAATTATTAATTCAGCAAAGTTCGCGTCACAATCACAACTGGCAAGCTGTTAAAGCTAGAGCGTAAAGATGAAGATTCAGACAAACCTCAATCAGATCGTTCTCGTCACGTTCAAGAGAGGGCATCGTCAACTCATGATTGGAAGATGCTGGGGCGGAGAGTTTAGGTGAGGGTGAGATATCCGTAGACGTCCCAACATCCACTTCGCCAACAGGACTTTGCATAGGTGAAGGAGGCATAGGAAGGCGAGTATATTTTGTCGTCTCCTGAACCCACCACCTCAGCACACTCTCCTTTGATTGAAGTAGAGCGGAGTACAACTGCTTCTTTGCCGCATCCATCTAAAAAAATAGAAAATAAAATAAATAAAGATAACATTTACTAGGATGAAATTAGGTGAAAAGACTAGCCAAACTTACACTTTTTATGATATTGAAGTTGTCCGGCGAGTAGAAGCCATTACTAACAGGAGAGGAGACGGAAATCTTCAAATTACTGTCAGAAGAAATCGGTGATCGGAAAGCTTCTTCAGGGGGAGCAATAGGGTTGGAAGACGGTCCTCCAGAGAATAGATTCCCTCCTGTACTCGAGGAGGAGGATCCCCCGTAGGAAGCTCGTCCTCGGGAGTGGCACTGTTCAGGTAGTCGTTGACGCGGGCTCGAAGAAGTACCGCCGACGCCATTCTTTGTGTACACAGGTAGATCAAGGGTTTTCAGAGGCGAAAGGTCCTGTTGAGAGCCTTGAAGAACTGGTGCGGTCTGACTAGTTGTTGACGAGAATGTACGCATATGAGAGCCCACATGGGTGGAGGGATCGTGGAATCGGTTCCTTTCAGCTGTTTTTTTGTATTTAAAGGAACAAAAAACAACCATTTTACTTTTTTTGAAATAATCATCCCATAAATGTTAGAGAACGCGAATCGACTTACTGGGCAAAGCGCTGAAAGGAGCAATCTTTGGCTTGTCTCCGTGGTAATCAGTCTGAAATCTATCGGAAATGAAGAGAGAGAGTTAGCAAGCATTTAAACGCATCTTCTAATTCGAATGATCATATTTCAGCTTGACAAACAAACAATATGCATTAATAAAGTGACGCCCCTCCACATTTGGCATTAGTACATTTCTCTCCCACCCTCCCCACCCCCCCCCTCCTCCCCCCCAAATTAAGGAATTTAAATTAGAAGCAAATATATTTGCATACATAAACTAATATTACACTAATTGCAAATGAACTTGAAAAAAAAACAAAATAATTTGAAAGTCAATAAAAAATAGGATAGGCATAGTTTTCTCCCAAGTTGCATTCTCTTGCGTCATGATAGCACCACAAGCACTTTGTAAAACCACAAAATGTTAACATTTATAGCAAATATATCGCCAATTACAGTCTTATTTCAAAAAAAATATGCAACATAATGTGATGATAATACAGATGAAAGAGATACCGAAAGAAGTATCCAGCACTATAAGATGATAGCGCATTTTGTTCTCGTCTACAATGCCCTTCACAATAAATTGATTTCAGGTTTTCTCATTTTAGCAAGAACTGGGACTTATCACCTGTGTTGCCACTGGTCAAAAATTATCATCAGTCTACAATTGGAACGCCTTAACGATTGAATTTGATTTAAAACAAATGATAAATAAGATTAAAGTTGGCGCCATCAGTCAAGCAGTTAAGTCAGTTGGTTGAAAAACAAGTCTAAATATTGCGGGTTAAAAGCGTTTAGGAGCACAGGGTTCAAGCCCTGGAAATTGAACAATTTTGAAGGTGAATTATATTTCCTGCGAAAATGCAAGAAAACTCCTGACCACTGTTCCATTAATACAAAATTAATTGTTATTTATGCGAAAAATCTATTTCGGTAGAATATCTATTGAAGAAAATGTTCTCAAAGCGCACAGAGGGAAAGTTGAAATAACAAATCCATTTGACACATCAGTACGGGTTAATTTTTTGCGAATCGAATCATAAGACAGTATCATTGCACCCATTTTGTCCTCTACCACATCGATTTATCTACCTTTGTTTATTTCATCACTTATATTCAAAGCTGTCACGAAGGTAATCAATTATTGCTTAAAATACACCATTGTCAACGCGTCAGGCAGCAAATAGAAATTAATCGATGATGAAACGGCGTGGTTACTGACAACAATTAAGTAGATGCCAAAAAAAGAAATGAGTACCTGGACGGTTTGTTAAGCTCTTGTGAAGGGAATTAGCTTGAGGCGGGGAAAATCAATGAGAGAAAGTAAGGGGGTTAGGTGCAATTAGGAGTTTGCATTAGACGGTGATTGAGCAAAGAGATCTTAAGAGAATTGAACTGCTCTGCCCTATCTCAGTTAGAGTTGATGAAAATGAGCTGAACTTTGCAGAAACTGTTTAGTTATCACTATTACCTCGTGTTTAAGAAGTATTCTATCATTCTTTGATGAAAAGAAAACAAGTAAGAATAAGTTAAAGCTTTCCTTTTTTGCCCTACACGCTATCGATTAAGGTTAGGGTTAGGGTTTGACATTTTCCCATGAGGGGAACTATAAGGGGCATTTATTGAGACCAATCTATTGTTGATTCACACGTCATTCAAGTGATTGCAACCCTAATTCCAGGAATTCCATCAAATTCGTTTACTTTTGTGATAAAAAATTTGAAATACAATTGGACAGAATGGGAAGATGATTATGGATCATTTCAGACGTATGGAAGGAAAAAATAGAGACAAATGGCTTTTTGATCAAGTAACTTCGAAAAATATGTCATTTTCTTACTCTTTGTAGGAAGAAATCGAACATCTGAAATAACATAAACACTCATGCCTACCTCTTTGTCACTACTGAAAACTGGCAACTTGTGACAAAGTTTACCATTTAAGTAGTATTATTTACAAAAAGCTTAATATTAACTTCTGGCGTAAACTCGATCGATCAGTCAATTTTTTTTGAAGGTATGAAGTCTGAATACCAAAAAGGTCATCACCCCCTCACCGCCCCTCCTTGGCTGGATGTTAAAATTTCAAGACTAGGTTTCAATCGCTCCTTATTCCACATTCTTAGTATCAAATTATTTATTTAATTATTGTAGAAAACCAAAAAAAAACGAAATAAATCACTTACTTTTGGAGAAAATTGGGGCCTGTGAGAGGGGCTGCAGAATCAGGAGGCCTCGCTAAAAGATTTAGAAAAAATCGATAACTTATATAACGATGCAACGTCTTAAAAAAAGTGACAATGTGTTGTTTGTACTGATAAAAATATTTTGAAAATAACCATATATATAATTCAAATTGGATTAACTTGATCAAGTATTCATTGCTGATTGTAAATGACCCTCCCAAACTATTGCATATAACGTGCCAGTAAATGTAAGACTGGAAAAAATGGAATTCGATCCAGAACCGTGCATAACCGCAATATACTTAAGTGCAGTTAATAATGAATGACACAGAATTCGAATTTCTCGTCAAGTTTCCCCATGATATCCTAGATGAAGAACGGTAAACGCTTTCTCAAGTGGATTTTAGAGCCATTTTTAATAAAAGACACTAAAATAAGAGTTTCATAGGGGTTTGGACAAACACATCAATGTCTACAGTCAACACGGCAATCAAAATGTATCGGCAAAGAGATTCAACTTCAACACAAACTAAAACTTGCGCATTCGCAGAGCATAAACGTTCGACGTTTTATTAGCCTTTCCGACACAGATAGACTTTCCTCCACGTGGTGCACCCTGGGCAACGTATACTCAAACGGCAAAAAAGTCTATTATTCGGCAGTTGACTTCTCGCTTCAAACTACCAAGACCCCACTGCATTTCATATTCGAATAATTCACAGTACTCACCTCACCTTTTTCTACCTCTGTGTCTGCCTGTCTCTTTTACGTCTGTGAATCATTATTCTGTCCCCCTCTCGACGTTTTGCCACTTTGATGTTTATCTTCCTCTCTGTGAAGACCGAAGTCAACTAAAGGGCTAATGATGCCTATCATAACGCCTGCCATTTGAAATAAAAATATATTTGCGGTCATTTAGGCTCTATTAAGCCCAAAAAGCCTGTTTAACAATTTCGAGAAACTTTCAGGATTATTTTGCAAATTGCTATTCTAACTAACACATCCATTGCAACAACAACAACAACAACAGCAAAAAGACTTTTAATCCATGAAGTGCCACTTAAAGTTAGTATGCCTGGTAAGCCATAAATATCTTTCATTAGTTAGAATTATCACTGCGGTAAAGTTGTTTTGACCTTGCATTTTGTGCTATTAAAATTTAACGCCCTCCTCCCCGCCAAACGCCCCCCGCCCCCCTCCTCCTAATTTCAGTGGGGCTTTTTTGACCAGCAGTCAGTAGACACCTCATCAAACGCTGGCCAATTTCTCTGTCCACTTAAATAGTCAAGAATGAGTAATAGTAATGAGACAAGGGTCTACGAGAACCAAAAATACCCAACGGGGAAAGTAAGGAGTGAGGCAACCTTCTTCCACCAGCAACACGGAAATTGGCAATCATTGAAGCAAATCAATAGGAATTCTATATTTTGCGCATTTCGGTGATGAAGCATTAAGCGGGGCCAATTCGAAACCCATGATTGGCGAACAGCGAATTAGCGTGCCCTTACGAAATCAATGAGAAAGGGTTGGAAACTGAATTACTGGGGTTGAGAAATTGGGATGAAATAATGAAATAAATTCGCATAAATTGAAGTGCGTGATAGACTTGCCTCCACGTGGTGCACCCTGGACAATGTATACACATATTGCAAAAAAGTCTGTAAACCGGCAGTTGACTTCTAAATTCAGATTACCACTATCTTACCTTACCTTTTCCCTACCTCTGTGGCTGTCTCTTGCATCTGTGAATCACTCTTCTGTCCACCCTCTTCACTTTTCGTGATATTGTCTGTTCCTCCCTCTGTGAAGCTCGAAGTCAACTAAAGGGCTAATGATAACTATCGAAACACCGGCCATTTGATATAGATAAAAGTTTATCTTAGTGGACATTTTCTGGCACACTGGAATTAATGGAAGTAACCGGAGGGGAAAGTACTGTGTTTGAAGAATCCTCCCATCCACCACCAAAACAAATAACTTTTAAAACAAAACATCAAAACTGAGGAAGAAAAACTCACAATTCCTAGCACCACAACAACACAGTAGTTGGATTGACGACCCAGAGCAGACTTCGCCCTTCATTTCTAATCCAACGACGCGTAGCCCAATATGCACCCCCAGTGGTACGCACACACACACACAGAGAAAGAAAGAATGTGCAAGAATTCCAAGCCTGCCAACCGGACTACACCAACTCGTTGAATTGTTTTAATAGGCGAAAGTGTTGCAGTGATAAGCAGCACACTGTAATGTTTAGTGAATGTACGCGAGGGCTACTAAAGCATATATATCTAGGGACTTGGTGTATTGTCGTCAAGGTTACACCCCTTGATTGGCACACTTGAAATAGCGCAAAATTTAGAATGTGGAGGCAAAAAACCAGGACTGGTCTGGGGGTAACCCTGGATATCCAGACCCCTACCCACCTAAGGCACCAGTTCGCAGTAATGATCAAATACTTTAATACTTGTTTTCTTTTCTACTTATTAGTGGGCCCCGAAGTCAGACCACAATACAAGCGTCCAACCCAAATGTTGACTTCTGTTGGTGTGTTAGAGTGGAGTAAGACTTACGTGAAGTTCCGCGTTTGGGTTGTGTCCTCCCTTTGAATCGCTTGTACCTACAAAAGAAAAGGAGAAACATTAAGCTCCTTTCTGAACTGTCAAAATTTTCTCCTATTTCCAGTTTATTGGCAGTACCTTATAATTGGAATTCTAATTAATCATTGAAGAGTATATTCAAAGCATAATGAAGAAATGTCTGTAAAAGCGAATAACTCCACACAAAATATTTATTTATATCAAATGGCAGGCGTTTTGATGGTTATCATTAGCCCTTTAGTTGACTTCAGGCTTCACAGAGGGGAAGGAACATTAAAGTGAAAAAAATTCGAGAGGGGGAGCAGAAGAGAGATTCAAAGATGACATACAGTGGGTTCAAGGTAGTTTGAAGTCAGAGGTCAACTGCCAGTTATTAGACTTTTTGCCATATGAATATACGTTGCCCAGGGTGCACCACGTGGAGGTAAGTCTATCACGCACCCCCTCCACACAAAATAAATCAGGACTTAAATACGTTGCGTGTAAACTAATTTCGCCCAAAATCCACCCAAAAAAACCCTCACTGGAACTACCGAGGCTTGTGCCACCCAGAATTATCATCGAATCAAAGTGCTGACCTGCACCAGCATGATATGGTTATATGTCAATTACAGAGCCTGTTAATAGGCCGCTCCAATGGAACCCATATGTTAATTCAGCAAATACCAGCATCAGGTTGTTTCAATTGTTTTTTTTTAATTCCAGACAGCCAGAGGTGCGCGATAGACTTACCTTCACGTGGCAAAAATGCCTAAAAACCGGCAGTTGACTTCTGACTTCAAACTGCCATGACCCCGTTGTATGTCAAATTCGATCACTTCAACAGTACTCATCTTACCTTTTCTCTACCTTTGTGTCTCTGTCTTTTTTACATCTGTGAATCACTCTTCCTCTCTCGAATTTTTCCCACTTTGATGTTCCTCCCCTCTGTGAAGTCTGAAGTCAGCTAAAGGACAAGTGATAGCTATCAAAACGCCTGCCATTTGTTATAAATAAGTTTAGAAATGGGAACCGGAGATTTGCTATGAGTATAAAAGTTGAAATAAGACAAAAAGGAAGGGGGTTTCTATTGGAAAGACTGTAATTAACACGGCAATGATTGGGGTGAAAGGAAATATCAACCACACTTACTATGACAAAATCACAGGAACCCTGACGCCTGAGCACACCTCTCACCAGAAGTTTACTCTAGGACTACATTGATTGCAATTTTTTGGCAGTTCAATAAACCAGAAAAATTATAGTCAATTGTCAATCACTATTTCAAAAAAAAATAATAAAGTATGCCTAATGTCTAATGCAAATCAAAGTGAAATGGGATGCAAGCTCAATTCTCTGTAGAGAAAAAGCAAAAAAACCGATGAAATGAAAATCATGCCAAACGTGTCTGTGGATGAGTTAAACATGTGAAAATCTTCCAAAGTCCTCATGCCTCTTTGCAGGTTTGACAATGATCCATATTCTAGCCTCATCTGCAACCACGATTCCCACGGAAACCTATTTTATATCATTACTGTACACTAATTAGTCCGACCATGTCTACATCGGTTGCTTATTGTGAAATCCTTAATAACACTCTAGCACGAGCTCTTAGATTTCTTCCCTCTGGCTTCTCAAACTCCATTGCTGATAAGTGCTCGCAGCACCAATAATTTCTCAACCAATCACAATCGTTAATCTACCCAATGTTTGCAAGCGTTTATCAAGAACTGCTGCAATTAAAATTATGAATTAACTATTTGTAAATGGCATTCCTTATATAAGGTGACTTGCATTATGGTTAGGAGAGTTAAGCTAAGACATCCCAAACATTCCAAATTGGGGGTGTGCGACAGACTTACCTCTCCACTTGGTGCACCCTGGCCAACGTATACTCATATGGCAAAAAAGTCTATTAACGGACAATTGACTTCTCACTTCAAACTACCCCCACTGTATGCCATATTCGGCTACTTCTACAGTACTCACTCACCTTTTTTCTACCTTTGTCTATTTTACATCTTCGAAACACTCTTCTGTTCCCCCCCCCTCTCAACTTTTGTCACTTTGATATTCCTCCACCTTTCTGTGAAGCCCTAAGTCAGCTAAAGAGCTAATGATAACTATCGAAACGCCCGCCATTTGATATAAATAAATATTTTTAAAGTAAATCTCCAAAGTGCATTGGTCAAATGCTAGGTTATCTGTCTGACTCTAAAGATCTTCGAACCCCCATTTACTCATCTTAGTGTAATTGTAAGTGGCTTTAAAATGGTGATATTGAAAAATGGAAACAAAAAAGGAATTGAAAAAGACAATAATCTGGAAGAACGGTAATACGTACCCCCCTCCCTCCCTCCCTCCCTCTAATTATTTTTTGTCATTAGTGCTTATCTACTTCAGGGTGTATCTAAGTACCGTGGGTTAGGAGAAGTGAGTGCGTGAATAACAACCTCTTCAGAGGATAAAAGAATATTATCACCGTACTAACTTAAATTTCAGGAATCACAGTACCCTCTCNCCCAAGTTATATTTGAATATCACTTGATGAAAACCCTCGCACTTGGTGTTTAAATCATACTCACATTCCACTCACATTTAAGAGAAATAATCTTATTTCAAATATGTGCAAATTTCAACTTAGTACTTGATGACCTATCATGTCTGCCTAATTGCAGATATCTTACCAGAATGATCTTAAATAAAATCTATAATAATTTGTCAGGGCATTGTGCTTCTTGTCCTAATAGGTGCTAAAATAACTTTGATTTTTCCCCTGCATTTGGGAAAAATTGAAATTTTTAAACGTTTTTGGTTAGTTTAGCTTCTAAGAATATCCTTCCACTTTGTTCACCATTGTGTTTCATTTTCTGCTTAAACTGAATTGGTGCTTTCATCACCTGAATCAATTGGAGACTTTAATTTCAAAAGCACTTTAAATATTAAAAGCGACTGAAATGCAACAATGAAGATGTGTGTTTGTCGAGCTTGAGGTCAGAAGTTCAATCTTCATTGTTGTAAATCCATTAATAATCGGCCCCACTATTCAAAAAGGATATGTAAATGATAGTTTGAAGTTAGAAGTCAGCTGCCGGTTAATAGGCTTTTTTAGCCGTATGAGTATACGTTGCCCAGGGTGCACCACATTTTTGCTGTATGAGTATACGTTGCCCAGGGTGCACCCGGACTCTTTTGCCGTGTATACGTTGCCCAGGGTGCACCAGTTTGTTTGCCGTATGAGTATACGTTGCCCAGGGTGCACCACGTGATAGACTTACTTGCCGTATGAGTACACGTTGCCCAGGGTGCACCACGTGGTGCCTTATGAGTATACGTTGCCCAGGGTGCACCACGTGGAGCCGTATGAGTAAACGTTGCCCAGGGTGCACCACGTGGAGCCGTATGAGTATACGTTGCCCAGGGTGCACCACGTGGAGGCAAATCTTTCGCACTCATCATGCCCACAAAATAAAACTACTTAAATGAACTCGTACTAACCTCTCTATTGAGCTTGGGGGATTAACGCGTCTACGCGGCCCCTTGCCTCGAGAATGAGACATGTTCTGGACACAGCACCTTTGTGCGTAGCTCCCAGTACGTTACGAGGAGGAGTTTTGGAAAAACGTTCTTCCTTTCTCAGGATCGGAAGCATCATGATTGTAATCTGGCCCTAGTCGAACATTGATCTTCATTGTTATTAGCCATGCGCTTTATTTTCGTCTCCTTTAAAATTTAAATATGGGAACTTATTTTGAGCTCATTTTAGGTTGAACCGTTTGGATACCAAATGTACCCTTCAAAGAGTGCACCTGCAAGTCGAAGAACATCAAATTACTCTGCGCATCCTGAAGACTTTGAGAACGACGAACGCATGGAAGAGGATCCATGTAGTCTAGCACCGGCTCTTTCCATAGGTGCAATTTCTGCAATTACTGGTGTCTCCTGCTACGATGATGATGATGAGGAGGAGGAGGAGGAGATAAAGGGAAATGTAATTGGCCTTCCTGAATGTGAAGAAGGGAGAGGAGATGTTGATGCAATGGATAATTCCGAGTGCGCTGATGAAATAAAAACCGAAGCGACGTCCCTTTTCTCTGGACCATCTTCACCAGCTGGAAATGCATTTTCCTCTCCTTTGATTAGTCAACGAGCCCAATCAGAACCACTTCAGCCGGCGCCTTCAGTAAATCAAGAAAATAGTCATAATGAATTGGAGTCTTCCCAACCGATTTCTAATCAGAAAAGGCGACAGAGACTGAGACTTCGAAAGAGATCAAAGAAACGCAGACCCAAGTCGAAATTAAATGACATTACTTATGATTCTCTAGCATCGAAGGTTCAAAAACTCACATCTGCATTGACATTTTACCCTAGTTCTAGGGTTCCTCGTAAAGTGAGTTGAGATTGTATGCATTAACGTAAACTTTGGAATTTGCGGTTTCGTTTAAATGTACATTGGTACAAATAGACAATTAAATGAAGTTATTAGTGATTGAAATGAGTAACTTCAACAATTTATCAAGGTAATTATATGTTGAAGATACTCTTGAGAGGAAAACAAGCATTATGGGAATCCAACTCCATTTAGTAAAGTGTTCTCCGTTGTTCATATTAGTCAGAGGGTTGGAACACGAAGCCACCATGATGAGTGTCTCCAATTCGAACCCCGTATGCCCCCGGAGGGGGGGGGGAGTGGTGTTCTCTAACCCATGGGGAACTCTTCGCCCCTGACTTCTCAAGAGACCACATTAACGATTTTGTCACAGGGGTAAATAATTATTTATCAAATGAGAGGTAGTAATGGGGAAGAGTGTTTTGGAACCATTGAACTAGAACCAAATTTTAGATTCTGAGACAGCTGATAACAGCAATCAATAGTTCCAGAAGGTAGATCACTAGGAGTGGTATTGGTTAAAGTAAGGTTTCGTGAAAGAAATGGAGGGAGAGGGGGTGGGGGGGGGGGGGGGGGGGGGGGGGGGGTAAGTGGCAAGGGAGCAGTCAAATGAGTCACCTAGGAGATGGCGTACTTGAGGCATGGATGTAGTGTGCGTTTAAATGAAACAAAAAGTCGGGTCGTCTAGCCATAAGAGATGGAGGTTGAGACGTCAAAACACAAGGTCGATAAACTAACACATTTTCATCGAGAATGAGATTAAATAGTAATTGTGAAAATGCAGAAATCGATTTTCTGTGCATTGGTCTTTTGAAGAAATAGAATTCCACAAAATTCCACGACGACTTAATCGGTTGCTCACAATTTCTCAGGAAAAGCTATCTAGGGTACCCCTTTTATTTTAAATATTTCAGAAATAGAAATGAAACATTTGGAATTCCACAACTCTTGCTTGTAGAAAATTTACCATTCGGCTAAAATTTAAACGCAAAATCTATCTTTTTCTGGACGAGGTTTAGCACTTTTACCTGGTCCGAGATTTTACTCATTTAATATGAAATTATTTTCACTCTTTTAAATTAATTCTTTTGTAAACTTTAACTTTCCCAGATTTCAGATCTGAAGATCGTAGTAGTAGTGCGTGAAATCTATTGCAGAGTAATTCACTCCCTAGTGAATTCGTGTGAAAAATTCATGTAAACAAATTTCCTCTTTGTGGAAATATTTTTGTCAAATTTGGTGATAACCATAACTATGCTGCACAAGGTGGGAAACGATGTTCAGCTTGGGTAGCCAATCAATACGCACTGAGTTTAGTGCCAACGTAGTGGATATTCGGGAATGACAATATTGAAGGTCATCACTTGATGGGGTTAATTCTTGAATGCGTTCTAGACATGGATTCAAAACTAGTGTCTTATTGGCAACCCAGAGACATAGGAATTTGAATATTCTGGTATGACATACCTTTGGAGATCTACGTAAAATCAATTTTGAGGTAAATATTTATATCAAATGGCAGGCGTTTTGATAGTTATCATTAGCCCTTTAGTTGACTTCAGGCTTCACAGAGGGGAGGAGGAACATCAAAGTGACAAAAAGTCGAGAGGGGGAGGGGGGAACAGAAGAGTATTCCAAGGATGTAAAAGAGACAGACACAAAGTTGGAAAAAGGGTGAGGTGAGTACCATTGAAGTAGTCGAATTTGACATACAGTGGGGTCATGGTAGTTTGAAGTCGGAAGTCAACTGCCAGTTAATGGACTTTTTTGCCGTATGAGTATACGTTGCCCAGGGTGCACCACGTGGAGGTAAGTCTATCACACATCCCCTTTTTGAGGTAAATGTAGACTTTGGTGGAGAGGCACAGCTGAGGTTTGTACCTACTTATGCTAACTGCAAGCCTCAGGGCCAAACCGCCATCACAGAGATGTTGAATTGTCGGCGCAGATCTCCTCTCAACCGAATGGCAACTGAGTGCATCTCTTTTTTGACAATGCACAAAAAAGATCTTATGTTTACTATAAAATCGGGTTTGTTTTTTTTAGGTTAGACTCCGAGGACCAAAGTTAAGGCGATGAATAAAATGTTGTTTTACATTCGAGATAACCGCTGTCTGACATCCCAAAAAAACTGAACAGATTGTAATAACTTCGTGGATGAGACTCGAGCATGTTCCTTATTTACAATGATGTAGGAATTCCAGTAATTTCGAAGCATTTTAATCTACTCATTATTGTTAATCAAATGATAAGACTAGAATTTTAATGAAAAAATTCCTTTGCCTATCCTTTGACTGCAAGGATTCGAACAAAGAAATCCCTTTTAAATGCAAAATGCATGTAAAACAGAAATCCAGTTAAAGGTTCTCTATTGTTGGCATTTCAGAGATCGCTACCTCCATACCATGATCGTGCATTCCAATTGGCGAAAGAGCTTTCAGTTACTGAGAAGACATACGTCAACTCCCTTCGACTTCTGCTCCTGGTAAGGCCAGTGTATTCGCTTTCATCCAACTTCAATAAAGACTTAAATCAATAAGATCAATTCTTAACTGATTGGTAGCATAATTTCTGCCAAAGGTACTAATACTGAGAATTTAGGGTTTTCTGAATAAAAGTGGATATTTTTCTCTCCAAATTTTCCATTCTTTGAGCAAAAGCATCAGAAAGCTCTTACATACACAGAAGATGATATTGAATGTATCGTGGTTAGGGTTAGGGTGTAATTTTTTTCACCAAGTTCAAACCAGATCACTTTGGCTACATTGTCTGCACCTTATTCGTGGTTCGCATCTTCTTGTTCCCTCCCAATACTCGGTTAACGAAAATCGAATCCCGTGTTCGTTTTATTGCATCATCTACATAACTGAATGGTTTTCTCTTCTTCAGTCGAATTCACCTCAGTCAAATGATTCATAAAACTTATTTGACCTGTAGTGTTGAAAAAACAAACCAAATGGTAGACTTAGTTATCATTGCTTATTGATGTAATTAGTTAACTTTATTTCGCTAATATTCAGAAAGGTCTTAGGTAGAAAGAAGTCATTTTACCTCTTTCACTGATGAATTGTAAGAGGCCTTTATTCATTTACTTCCATTATTTATTTATTTATATCAAATGGCAGGCGTCTTGATGGTTATCATTAGCCCTTTAGTTGACTTCAGTCTTCACATAGGGGAAGGAACATCAAAGTGGGAAAAAAATCGAGAGGGGGGGGGGAACAGAAGAGTGCTTCAAAGACGAAGGTAGAAAAAGGTGAGGTGAGTACTGTGAAAGTAGTCGAATATGACATACAATGGGGTGAGGGTAGTTTGAAGTGAGAAGTCAACTGCCAGTTAATAGACTTTTTTGCCGTATGAATATACGTTGCCCAGGGTGCACCACGTGGAGGTAAGTCTATCGCACACCCCACTTCCATTATTAAAGTGGATGAAATCTAATTGGAATANGTTATTTTTTTTATTTTTTCTATTTTTAATATGAGCTATAGTAGTTATAGTACTGGCAAGTGGGATTTTACCTTTTTGCACATCCGCCTGAACTATGTGAAGGTATATAAATAGAAATGAATATATACTTACAGAAAGGGCTAACGACCAAAAGTATAGCCTGCCTATTGAAGCACACAGGATCTGGTTCTTTTTCGGTGAGAAAAGTTTTGTTAGAATGAAAAGCACACCGTGGAAACTGATAGATGGCTTAGTTTGCGTACAGCCCAGAGGGGGGGGGGGGGTTACCCCTTTAATCTTGCGGACTTTTCTCTGATGTCCAGGAAGGGGGGAAGGCTTTGATTGAGTTCGGATTCCCATGTGAAGTTGCCGACCACTTTGATATTTAAGATCTGTTTAACCAACGGCGATAGATGATAATAGGCCACGTGTATGACGACATAAGGATGCAACCCTTTCCACATCTCAAGACAAGCCAAAAATAGTTGTTCGGGAATTTCTTCTTCTACTACAAGAGTATCAGTGTTTGACTGGCCACTGACCGCCTCTGATCTTCACCCGATGGACTATCATGCACGTGTTGGCCTCTGCGGAGTAGGAAACAAAAGCCCATTTAATGCACAGAATAAAAACCGTAAGTGTGGGGGTCTTCTTCACGTTCAGATTGAGGCTGTAAAAGACGCTAATAACAGCCATTCTGAGCTGAACTGTTTGTCAATATCATTGTCTGTTAAGTCGGTCAAGCTTTTTACTTTCTCACTACTTCTTATTTGGAGTTTTATTGTAATGAGAAGTTACGTATGTATTTCACGAGAAAATATAACGCAAGAACTTGTATTTGAGCATCATCTTGCTCAATTTTCAGTTATATTGTCTTAATGCCCCCTCCAGAGTTGGATGTTGTCCGGTGTAACACAGGAGGGGTTTCAAAATTTAAGCAATATCGGTAAAGATTTTAATTTCTTAATCTCTTCCTCTCCACTTTATCATTTATTTATTTATTTCAAATGGCAGGCGTTTTGATAGCTATCATTAGCCCTTTATCTGACTTCGGGCTTCACAGAGGGTAGGAGGAACATCAAAGTAGCAGAAAGTCGAGGGGCGGGGAACAGAAGAGCGATTCACAGATGTAAAAGAGGCACACAGACATAAAGGTAGGGAAAAAGGTAAGATGAGTACTGTGGAAGGGGTCGAATATGACAAGCAGTTGGGCCATGGTATTTTGAAGTCAGAAGTCAAATGCCGGTTAATAGACTTTTTTGCCGTATGAGTATACGTTACCCAGGGTGCACCACGTGGAGGTAAGTCTATCACGCACCCCCTCCACACAAAATAAATCAGGACTTAAATACGTTGCGTGTAAACTAATTTCGCCCAAAATCCACCCAAAAAAACCCTCACTGGAACTACCGAGGCTTGTGCCACCCAGAATTATCATCGAATCAAAGTGCTGACCTGCACCAGCATGATATGGTTATATGTCAATTACAGAGCCTGTTAATAGGCCGCTCCAATGGAACCCATATGTTAATTCAGCAAATACCAGCATCAGGTTGTTTCAATTGTTTTTTTTTAATTCCAGACAGCCAGAGGTGCGCGATAGACTTACCTTCACGTGGCAAAAATGCCTAAAAACCGGCAGTTGACTTCTGACTTCAAACTGCCATGACCCCGTTGTATGTCAAATTCGATCACTTCAACAGTACTCATCTTACCTTTTCTCTACCTTTGTGTCTCTGTCTTTTTTACATCTGTGAATCACTCTTCCTCTCTCGAATTTTTCCCACTTTGATGTTCCTCCCCTCTGTGAAGTCTGAAGTCAGCTAAAGGACAAGTGATAGCTATCAAAACGCCTGCCATTTGTTATAAATAAGTTTAGAAATGGGAACCGGAGATTTGCTATGAGTATAAAAGTTGAAATAAGACAAAAAGGAAGGGGGTTTCTATTGGAANGAGGCCTTTATTCATTTACTTCCATTATTTATTTATTTATATCAAATGGCAGGCGTCTTGATGGTTATCATTAGCCCTTTAGTTGACTTCAGTCTTCACATAGGGGAAGGAACATCAAAGTGGGAAAAAAATCGAGAGGGGGGGGGGAACAGAAGAGTGCTTCAAAGACGAAGGTAGAAAAAGGTGAGGTGAGTACTGTGAAAGTAGTCGAATATGACATACAATGGGGTGAGGGTAGTTTGAAGTGAGAAGTCAACTGCCAGTTAATAGACTTTTTTGCCGTATGAATATACGTTGCCCAGGGTGCACCACGTGGAGGTAAGTCTATCGCACACCCCACTTCCATTATTAAAGTGGATGAAATCTAATTGGAATAGCTTAATTAGATTCAAATGGAAGTGATCAGCACAGTCAAAGCCAAAATACCCCCAAACCTGACCAACTACATGAGAGCCGAAATTGGTATGTAATTCATTCGACTGGTATGACCTGAGCCTAACTATAACTAGTTGACCTGTTTCAGTTATTTGTCGTAACTCCATGCTAGACATGCTACTGCATTTTCTTACAGTCTCACCATGACAATCCAGAACATAATGAAAGTCTGCATGCTGAGGTAACTCGTCTCATCTCTCCACTCTACACCCAACACGCAACGCTTTTGCAAACTGCTCTAACGCGAGTGGCTTCATGGGAGAGGGCCGCTTTGAACGCGGCTGCCGCTCGAACACACTTTCAATCTGCTCTTGCGGGTGTTCACAAAGCTCAACGAATCAGGTGCAAACGCGTGGCTAGGCAAATTAAGGCTGGTCGCCAACGCAAAACCCCAAAGTCCATATCAAGAGACGGTGGATGTAACGAAGGCGATTACCCCAATGACGATAATGATGAAATTTCCGACTCTTCCAGTATGTCTGAAGTTTCAAAGTAGCGCTCTCATAGTAGATTTGAATAAACCAAATTGCTTTCCGTCTTTTAGCATCAGTGAGTGGTGTGCCGCGTTCATCTTTTAGGAATGAGTTGCCGGCGTCGATTGAGGACAACCGAAATCGTACTCCGCCTGCAGAAGGCTGCAATCTCACAGCATCATCCTCGACGTCCTGCTCCTCTATTTACCCCTCGTCTTTTGAAATTTCCGATGGAGAAGGTTCTCGTCGCTCCAACACACCACCTCCTGATCTCGTATCTGCCGAAAAAGAGCTTCACGAAACTACGCGATGTTTGGCTGAAGTCGCTCGGATCGCAGACATCTACCGGCCTGCCCTTCAAGACAACCTCGTCTCAAGCTACGAGGTATTTGTCTCGGGCATACCAACTCTACACCATAAACACATTTCAAGCAGTGTTGAAAATAAGGACTCTGATAGGTCAAATAATCACCTCTCTAGTCTTGCTTTATTGCGGATTCCCCTCAGACGAATATGGTACTATCAACAGGTCTTTAAACGTCTTCTAGAAGTTCAAGGAAATGAAAATCCCGATAGAGATGACACTAGTGGTACGTAATGGCACTTTATGATAATTCCTTCTTTTCTAGCTCTCGTTTCCTGGCTATCAAATGCGATAGAACAGTGGGAATCGGTATATAAAAGAGCAGAGTCTTACACCATAGTGGCTGAGTTCTGCCAGGATTATCAGCTCAACACGAACGCGAGTGAACGATGTCATCGAAGGGCATGTTCTGCCGCCTTGCTGAATAGTCTCCTCAGTGAGCCTCATTCCAAGCTCATTCGTGTGGGCTTCCTTGAGAAGATGTCATCTAGGGGACGGGGGTATCAATCGAGAATAGCCCTCCTTCTCAATGATCGTCTTGTCTATTGTGGACGCGTTTCCGGTTCCTCAAATATGCAACTAAAAGTACGTGCAATTCTTTTTCCTCCTCTTTTCTTCTTACCTTATCTTTCCAACCATGTCCCCATTTTTGAGTGGTGCAAAAGTGCGACAAATGGTAATTCCAAAAAATCAATAAAATTTTCCCAAATGCATAATTTCCATGTGCGTTGAAATAAAACTGCACCGGATGCCTAGGACTTACATTGCTTGAAGGGAAAATGTACTTTAAGCGATCAGGGTGTCCCAGGCACTTCAAATCTCATGAGTACAATTTCAAAAAATAAAAGGAAATTTTTATTCACATCTAAACATAAATGGAGTAAGTACAACAAATAACTTTTCATATTCCACTTTATTTGAACTTATTTGACTTTCAGCTTAAATTCTGAGATGGCTAGGAAAATAGGTGATGCGTGGAGGTAAAATTAGGTTGTCAGGATCATCCGTATGCAAGGTGATAACCACATCAGAATCACCAACTTGTGTGGGGTTGCGAATGGTTTACTCTAAAGTTGATCCACTTTCATGAAAAGGATCCTTATAACAATTTTTGACATGAAGTTGTAATAAAAGTTCAAAAGGAACTGGGAGTTCTTCACAATTGGAGCTAGTCTATAAACCTCTCCATCTTTCCCTCTATATTGCGAAGTTCATGAACTTCTAAATTCTGCTATTTTCTAAATACGTGGAGGTTGGCCATGGGAATGTTTCAGGCGAAAAAATTATCCCTACCAACTCCACGTTATGGCGAAGGACCATTTTAAGGTCATATCAATTGCAAAATGTTGTGCAGACACTTCAAGCATGTTGAGGCACTATTTGGTAACATTCGACACTGAATATACACCCCCCCC